TGTAGGCTGCATAGTTACATGCCATTTTAGGAGCTGTTTTAGCTCAAATATGGGTATAGAGTTTGATCATTGGTTTTCAACGAAACCACGAGAACATAGTAACGTATTTGTCTTTTCAACTCCAAATGAATAATGTAGTAGGAGGAATAACCAGGATTTGCCATTCGATCTAAGGGTCTGGCTAAACTAGGAAACTTTTTTGCGGAAACATTGTTTCCTGTTATGTTTCCCGGGGCGGCTAAATTAGCGCGAAACAAACAAAATGTTTTGCTGCTCCAGTGGCTAAACGAGGAAACATTGTTTCGGAAAAAAATGTGCTACGCATGCGTGTATGAATAAACTGACTTTGAGGAAGTCTGGCGATCGAAGGGTGTTCACATTTTCCTTGTATCAAAGCCCTTTGAGCCATTTTGAACAATAATAAGGAACTTCACCATCTTGTACCACTTCCAAGAGGAGTGGTGCACATCGCTTGTTTGTTGACCGGACTTCTTTTTTCTTTCCAGGGCCTGTTCCCTCAAAAAGTGTGACCTGATAATTTTCCACTTGCTCTTGTAATCCTCCCGGCTGATATCATATTTTTCTGTCATCAGTAGATCGATTTGCGAATACGCCACCTCTTTACTGTCCCTGTTCATGTAGTCCTTATGACCCACGTCCCAGAGACAAGGCCTTTCCTCATACAGCGTAATTAGCATTTCAATTTCTCCATCTTTCCAATTCCTTTCCGGCCTTCCCTTTCCCTTTCTTTGAGCGTGACCTGCTTGAAATTTCTTCGCAGTCAGCCATTTTAATTGTTGTCTGCTCGCCGTTGCTATGAAACATTTTTCAATGTGCGAGCGGCACTGGAAATTAATCAACACTGTTTTCATCGTGGCTAAACTGGGAAACATATGTTTCGAACGCAAAAAATCTGTGTCCGGGAAACAAAAATGTTTTTGTCTGCAGGCAAAAACAATTTTTGTTACCGAGCAGCAAAATTTGTTTCCGCAACATGTGTTTCCCGCGCGGCTAAACTGAGAAACATTTGCCTCCGCAAGAATGTTTCCGCAACAAAGTTTCCTAGTTTAGCCAGGCCTTAAGTTTTCTGGAGAATTTTGCTGCCCTTTCACTTCGGTTCTCATGCCAGTTTTGAAGGTGGTCATGGACATCGGATTGAAGGACGGTCTGTTAACGAGTATGGTCTGTCTTGGGGTCAGGATATGAGAACTTGGCGGCATACCCTATCCGAGAAATTCCGTGGGGTCTCCCCCAGGGGGTGACAAGTAATAGATCATCTCTTACACGTAACAGATGGTTTTCTCATGGCTATTCATAATAGTGAAGTGTCCGTTGTCGTGCTACTAGATATGTCTAAGGCATTCGATAGTATCAGACATGATATTCTCCTTCAGAAGTTACAGAGTATAGGTGTTGCCTCTTCGAGCTTGGAGTGGTTTCATAATTACCTGTCTGGTCGTAGCCAGAGAGTGCGCATTGGGGATGCTATCTCAGACCCGCTCCCTCTTAAATACGGAGTTCCTCAGGGTTCTATCCTTGGGCCCGTGTTATTTACCATCTATGTAAATGATCTCTTGTCCGTTCCAACCCACTGCAAGTCTGTGTGCTACGTCGATGACTGTAAATTATACCTATCCTTTCGCTCAACTGACATCGCTCGCGTATTTGGCTATCTGAACGAAGACTTGAGT